TAAAATTTTTTGTTAATATTTTGGTTATCTGGAAGAGATTAATTGGATTTACATTATTTCTTATTACAAGTATTAACAAAAATAAAATTTTATAGAGAATAACTATAGTTTTACTCCCAAAACTAGGGCATACGAAAACCAAAGTTCCACTGTTATTATCATAATAAAAACACTTTACATTGTACATAATGTAAAATTTTATGTATTATGGTATAATACAAGCGTGTTTTTGCTTACATCCTCTGCCCGTCATTTCCTCTCTCATTTTACTCATTCTCTCTCTCTCTCTCTCTGTTTCTCGTTTATTTGTTTTATCTCGTTTGCTTCCCTCTCGCCCTACATTAATATTAGAAATATTTTAAGGTAAGTAATGAGTGAATTGCATATGCATATTATCGCTCGGGATGCTTTAAATTTTAACCCCGTAAAGGTCAAATTTTATATACACGTTTTTACCGCTAGTGCCCCAAACGAAATATGTACGTTTTGTGTGTCATACATTTAACATTGCCACGATAAGCCTGAGTCGCCTAGACTTTGAGAGAATGGGTGTGCGCACTCACTGTGTGCCATATTAAAAAAATTTGGGGGATGCTGGGTACTATATGCTTTTTTTTTCCAATTAAAAACCAATGATTTTTCGTTTTTCTAAAAAAATTTGGGGCACTACGGTAGATAACATATATACTTTTGGACTGTTTAGGGGTTTTAAGTGGATGGGGTGGGGTGGCCTGGCTGGCTACAATACTTACCACAAGTGATTTCTTACCATAAATACTGCCCAAACGTAGATCTACGTTTGCTTGCGTAGTGCTCCGAACGTAGATCTACATTTTTTTAACATTCTTTGTTATAGAAAAAAATAAAGGGTTTTGTAGCGCTACGCGTGTAAACATAGATCTACGTTTGGACAGTTTAAGGATTAATGAGTGTATTATGTGTACATATTTTAGTTTTTTATTTTTTTTAATGCCTAGTTCTATTGCTAACTTAATTAAGTTAGTATCAACTTACCTAGCATTTATATGCATTTGTAAGTGGGGGGGGGAAAAAAAGGGCGTTCCACTTCATGGCGGTAGCTGGAACTTAACCTGCCGTATAAGTGGGGCCCTACTGTACTGTGAAAACATTTAGTTGCAAATAGATAAGGGTTTAAACTACCAAAATTTATCAATTTTTTTTTTTTTTCCAAAATATGTCCCTCTGTTTATGCTGACCTCGGCAAGTCTGCCAGAGATGTCTTTGGCAAAGGCTTCCATTTTGGCGTCCTCAAACTTGAGTGCAAAAGTAAAACTGCCACTGGTGTGGAGATTACAGCAGGTGGCTCCAATGTTCTGGAGTCTGGTAAAGTTGCAGGCAATCTTGAGACCAAGTACAAGGTGAAAGAACATGGTAAGTAGCTGGTATTAAGTTGGTTTATTGTATTAATACCCATTATATAAAGAGCTTATTGCCCACATTCCTTTGTGTACTAGTGGTCCATGCTACCTAATTAATTATTCACAAACATGTTCCTCATTGTGTGGCTTTCTTAACCATTTTCCAAGGCAGGGTGACCTGAAAAATTACTCATGATCTGAACTATTGGGAAGGCACAGATTTATTAGGTTATTGACCACTGAATTTTAAATACACCCACTCCACTTTTAAAGTGAAGATGCACTATCTAACCTAAAGTAGTGTACATGAAACTATAGTTGTGGTATAAAACATGGTAATAGATATGGACAGGTGGTTGAAAGACAAGTGAGGAAACACTTGTCCAAATTTGGGAAGGTCAGTCATGTGACTTGAATCACTACTAACATACGAAGGGTCAAGTGACCTACCAGGTTCATATAGAGGTACTATTTAATTCTCTGACTATTTTGCTGTCATCTCTACTCATTTTTGCAACCATTGGCAACAATGTTGATCTGATAATGACTCAAAACACATTACATTTTATCAAACCAAGTTTGGGCTTCTGGTCTTCTTGTCCTCAATACCGAGATTGGGAGACAACACTCGCGTCTTCGCATTGGACACACACTTCTAACTCGTGGATATCTCATGGAGAGGTGTCCTGTTCCACTTTGTTAATTGTGTTAATTTCCATGTTCTTTTGGACTGCCCTGTCTGTCAACGAGCACACAGGATTTTTCTCTGATGATGTCACCACTCTAACACCCTTACTTTATTTTCCCTTATTGCTGATGGCCCCCCACTTTGACAGACTCCCTTTTTGACTTTTTAACAGCAACTGATTTATTACACAAACTTTGGTAATCCTTCCTTTAGCATTTCCCTACAGCCCTTCCTAACTTGACCTTTGTTGGCCTCTCCACTATTACTATCCTTTGATCCTGCATCAATTCCTACCCAGCAGCACTGTATGACCCTAGTAGGTTTAGCACTTCTTTTTGACTTGTAATAATAATAATACTAGTATCCCATAATGTTTGCTTATGTCTTTTTAAACTACTGTACAGTTAAACAATTTAACGTAGTACCTTTCTTCTAGGGAGGTGCCTTGATTCAACTAATAATTGAACCTCTCCTCATTTTTTGTTCTAACCTGATTGTCTCGCATTCCCCAGGTGCTGTATGACAGCTACAAACTAAGTGCTTACCCATGATGATAAAACCTGTATACTTTTGGCTGACTTTGAGGGCTTTTCTACCCTACCAGCCCCAAAGGTTGGCCAAGCTTCCTCATTCTGTTACCTGTTTCATTATGTCTGTTGCTGTTTTTGGACCTCTGGCCCACATAGCCATCAGTCTGGTTGATCGGACACCTAGTCCAGGTAGTAATCCTGTTTACTTTTAAAGACTTGATTTGTTCTAGCAGTTCTGATATCTGCTGGTAGGTTGAAAATTCTTTGGCCAAGAATGTTGATGGTGCTCTCTTATTGTGCCTATGGCATCTCTGCTTTTCTCTTAATTCATTTTATACCTCCATCCATATCTCCAGAAAGTTTATGGTAATTTGAAGATTTGGGCAGGGGGCTTCTAATGCCTTTCAGGTGTTTAAATTTTGAAAATTTTTTACAATACAACCTTCATGGTTGGTGGCATCACATTATCTTTTCCTTGCCACAATTACTGTTTTTTTTTTCCCCCCCCTCTCCAACAAGTCGGCTGTCTCCCACCGAGGCAGGGTGACCCAAAAAAGAAAGAAACCCGAAACCCTCCTTTAGAGTGCAGGCATTGTACTTCCCATTTCCATTACTGTTATCTATAAGTATTCTTCATTTGACTGAAGAAACCTAATTATTGACTGAAGATACCTAATTATTACACATCCTATCATCTTCCAGGTGTATATTTTCAAGTATCACTTTCCTCGTGGAGTACATTCCAAGTACTGAGGTATTTCCAGTAGTTTCGTTGCTTTGACTATGCAGACAGTAAATTCTTTGTCTAGCTCTGGTAACTCCTGCTTTGAACAGAACTATGAGAACAGAGCAATATTCTTGATTTAAAAGCACAAGCAATTTAAGTAGAACTATCATTTGCATTATTTTTCTTTTGAAAGCTCTCATTGTCTGCCCTATATTTTTTTCTTGCCTTTGCTGCATTAGGTTTATTGTTCTCAAAATGACTTACTATCAGACAGTATTTATCCTAAGTCTACCTGTTTATTTGGAGATGGTCTCCCTGTATTCTGTATTGTGCTGGTATTAAGTTCATTCTTTCCATATCAAAGAACTGAAATTTGTCATCACTGAGCAATGTTATTTTCATTTGCTCTTTTGAAGCCTTTCTATATCTAATATTTCTACTGAGGTCACTTGTACTTTGACACTGTCCACAAAGGATATGTAGCTGAGAATAGGTGAAGGTGCTAGGACCATGCCTTGTGTACTGAGTTAGATCTGTGTTGATTTTAAGTTGCATAGGATTAAGTTGTACGTCAGAGATGTGAGATTTTGTTCGGATATTAAACCTCGGAGGGTTAGCCACAGTCATTGCATCATCGAGGACTGTCTTATTTCCATTGGGAGTCCTTAAATTTTGTCCCCCTAGGATGACTCACACCAGTCAGTTTGCACCCAGCTACCTACTTGGCAGGTGAATGGGGAACAGGTGTAAGGAAATGGTCAATGTTTCCACCCTTGCCAGAGATTGAACCATGGACACTCGGTGTGTGAAGTAAGAGCGTTGCCTTCCAGGCCACAGGACGTGTCTTTAAATAAAATTTTAAGGCAGTTTAGCTTGAATGAACTTTGCTTAACCGCTTAACTGGCTGCGTCATAGTACTACGCCATGAGCTCATCTCATTCAAGATAAGCTGTAAGCAGAAAATTTGGGGGCTAGATATGAGAGAATGGGTCTGTGCAGTAAGTGTGCACCATATAAAAAAAAACCTGCAGCACACAGTGCATAATGAGAAAAAAAAGTGTTTTTGGTTTAAAGTATCAACTTTGCGGTGTATTCTCAGTATCTTGATCTCATTTGATAGAATGGAAGATATATAACAGAAATAGAGATGATTTTGATTGATTTTAGGACTGGAAATAGCTTGAAATAGAGCTCAAATTAGTGGATGTATTTGATTTTTGCTGATATTCAAGAGTAAACGTATCATGTCACTTGTCCAATACACATCAATTTGTGGGTCTGTTATGCATTTACGAATGCACTGATATAAATTATACAATTATTACAGTATTACATGTTTTTTTTTTTTTTTTTTTTTTTTTTTTTTTTTTTTTTTTTTTTTTTTTTTTTTTTTGTAATAAAAATTTCTTTGAATAAAAAATAAAAATGGTTATTCATGTGTAAAGCGTTGGAACGTAACTAAAGAAAAGAGGGAAGTGTTATTTTAGTGCCAGGAATGCCTGCTGTTGTTTATTCTGGACCTATTTTGAAACTGGAATATTTTGAAATTTGTGTGAATTGGCCAAATTACCAATTTCTTATCACTTTATTGGGTAGTTGAAATAGTTGATTGAGCAATTTCTTGTGCTCAATTGATTAAAATGGAAGACATAGCAAAGAGCGAAGAATTTGGAACAATGTAATTGGCCTAAAATAGGACTCAGTGGGCAAAATTGCCGATGCATAAAAATTCGCTGACATGGCAGAATTTGTGAAAGTGTAATTTTGTCAGTTTTCCATCAGATTTTGTGCTTTGTTTTATTACCTCTAGAAAGATTCTCTACCATGTCACGAGATTTTTTTTTTTTTTATTCTTGGACACTGGACAAATCTCAGGACAGGGGTCTAGACAGTGAAAGAGTTAATGATCATAACAGTTTATGTACTGTGATATTTATGCATGAACATAAAACCACAGAACACAGGTTTCAGAAAAGTGTTTTTAATGTTCTGACTAAAATTAAATGTTATTTTTGTATTTACGAAATTTAATTATTCAATATGAATTTATAACTCCACTCTTTGTTTATAATTATGATAGTTTTTTATTTTAATGCTGATATATACATTCTTATCCAGGACTATTATTAGCAGTGCATTTTTCTTTGAAGATTTGTTAATTGTAATACTGGGCAATACTTTTCAGGGTTGACCTTTACGGAGAAGTGGAACACAGACAACACACTGAACACAGAAGTTGCATTGGACGACAAGGTTGCCAAGGGGCTCAAGCTTGTTTCAACACCACCTTTGCTCCACAGACAGGCAAGAAGTCTGGAGTGCTTAAATCTACTCTACAAGACTGATGCTTTGTCTGTTAACCTAGATTCCACATTAGATCTTGGTGGTCCAGTAGTCAATGGTGCTACTGTGGCAAGCTACAAGAATTGGCTTGTTGGTTATCAGATGTCCTTTGATACTGCAAAATCAAAGCTCACCAAAAATAACTTCGCTGTTGGATTTACCAATCCAGACTTCATTCTTCACACGTATGCCAATGATGGAGCTGAATTTGGTGGCTCCCTCTTCCACAAAATTAATCCTGACTTGGAGGGTGCTGTTGACTTGGCTTGGTCTGCTGGATCCAACACTACACGCTTCTCCATTGGCTGCAAATATTCTCTGGACAAGGATGCTGCACTGCGAGCCAAGGTGAACAACAACTCTCAGGTTGGCCTAGGCTACCAGCAAAAGGTGCGTGATGGCATTACTTGACACTATCAACTCTCATTGATGGTAAGAATTTCAATCAGGGTGGACACAAAGTTGGCCTGGCCATGGAACTAGAAGCCTAACTTCTTAAGGATTGTAGCTGCTGGGGTCCTGCAGCCATTATATGATGAATATTTTGGAGAGGGTGAAGAGCCATGGGCACTGGGCTCTGTGGGGTGAACTGTTTCTACAGTTAAGTGCCCACATATGCTAAGTCCTAGATTCCAGTAGTGTAAATGAGCACTGTACATTAAACATTTACATGACCGACTGTACATTAAATATTTTTTATCTTCATGGTGGCAGCAACGAGTTGAAGACTCGTTTTGCAGCTGTGAAGTTGATCTGTCTTCATGAAATGTCAATAAATTTTAAATGGTCTTTGATATGTTTTCTTAACATTTTCCATTTTGGGTGCATTGAAATTGTATAGAATAGGGTCTGTGCCTACTTATTCAAATCTCAATGCTTCATGTTTTATAAGTCACCTCATTAGTCATAATTTATGCATGGGCGAATTATGAATATCTGACTAGTATTTTTAATTACATATGTTGAAGTATGCTTGGCACATTAACTCAAAACTTTGTCTAACTGCATTGTTCATGAAATGTACATTGTGATAGTTCATTATTACAATAATTTTACTGTGGATTAAATACATAGTATATTTGTATATTAGAAATTTTGTTTTTATTTAACACACCAGTACTGGAGACTTGGCATGTAATACAAAGCAGTTGTAAAAGTCTCACTTATTTATTGGAAATTACAAATTTGTTTTGACTGAATTTTTTCCATTGTAACTTCGAGTTATTCGTGTGAAGAGTGTATACTGTATATACAATAGATGTGAAAAGGAAGATGTATTATTTGGCATTAATGCTTCAGTGTTGCTCAAAGGTTTGATCAGGCTTCTGATACCATATGTATATTAATTATCAACCAATTGTTTATAATTTTGCCATACTCTATGACCCTTGTGGGTTTAGTGCTTCCCCCTGTTTAAAATAATTTTGCCCCAAACACTGAACTTGTATCTAAGCACTTGAATTGCCTTGGTAAATTTAAGTTTATTAAATTCTCTTCCCTGTTAGTACATGCTTTATTTAAAATTAATGTTTATTACCCCTACTTGAAGGCTTTTTTTTATGCCGTTTAAATTTTATTCCTGTCTCATGTTTCGTAAATTCTCTGGTCTTTTCTCTTGTACCTTCAATAAACTTGACAAATGCTTATACTGTATTTATTCCAATGTCAAAACTGGTACTTGAAATGTATTTTTCCGTGGACACTATGGCTGGGTTAAGAGGTGCTGGTTTACTGCTGTTTTTGTGAAGATAAAGCTGTATATAGTAGAGATGGGTTTAGGATTTTGTGGATATAATCCTTTCAGCTGTAGGTACTTGGATGCTAGTATAGGGTGTTGGGTCCACATTGTATTTACTCTTCCCTTGCATCAGGGAGATGCCTACCATTTCCTAGGTACTATATATAGCAATGGCTTGAATCATACTGGATTACCTCCCATTTTCCAGGTATGTTATTTCTTCCCCCTAAGTATACCTTGAATTGAGCCTGAATACCTTTCATTCATGTAGGTGATGTGACCCCCCTACAGGTTTTGTGTCCATGAATAATCGCCATTTTTACATGGTCTCGTGTTTAAAGTGCTTGATTGTATTATGTAGTGTCATAACTATTTTTGTTAGGCACTGAGCTGTACGACTTTTGGGTTTAGCTCTCAAATTAATAATGGGTATTGAGGGATGAAATAAGTCTGTATTCAGGGCACTAGCTCGACATTTTGCACTTTCCTCTGAAGTGAGGTGCCTTAATGTTAATGAAGGGCTCTTGACCCAGGGAATTGGAGCTGCACTCAATTTCCTTGTATTAAACTTCTCCCATTTCCCAGGCACTTTAACCCCTAAACTGAATGACCCTTGTGGGTTTAGTGCTTAGTTTTGATTAATTAAACCCTATGAGTTCAGTGCATCCCTGCAACAATATTACCTCAGATATTTTCCTTGCTGTTGAATCTTCCAAGGCCCCTCAAGGAAGATTCTTGGATGCCAGTAAGGGGCTCTTTAATCCAAGGAATTGGATTTGCCCTCCTCTTCCTTGGATTGAACCTAAATGCCTCCTGGGCACTATGACTACTATAGGTTTAGTGCTTCCCAATAAATATAATCTTCCGAGCGAGTTCCTTAATGCAGGTGAGGAACTCTATCAAATGAACTAGACTTATCCTTCTCTTCCTTCAATGCTTGCCTCCTGTTTTGCAGGTGCTGTACGACCCCTTGGGTTTAGCTAAGCCCACAAGGGTCAAAGAGCACTTGGGTAACGTGAGGTAATCACATTCAGAATGTCAAGAAATAGGAGAAGGCCCAATTTCCTTTAGTCAAGAAATTTTCGCTGCCATCAAGGCACCCCACACGAGTCCCTAATACCCTTCGTAGCTATCTTAGTTCATACCTCTCCTGTTAAATTAGACACATGTGCAACTCTTGGGTATCTTTATTGAGGAAACGTTTTGCCACACAGTGGCTTCATCAGTCCATACAAAGGAATAAACTTGAAGAACAGGAGGAGAATGAGGTAATCAGTCCCTCATCCTTGAGTCGATGTGGTCAGTCCATCCATCTTGAATAGAATACGGCATATGAGCGGAGAAGCAGCTTATAAACCGTATGGCAGGAGAGGTGCAGCAGTCGTAGGTGGTGTCACATTTGTCCAATGTGGAAGTAGGTCGTGCCCAAGGGTTAGGCAAGCGAAGAATTCCCAAGTATTAAGATCCCAAGAAGTTGCAGTGTCTGACAGGATTGCAGATGAATGGTTCAAAGAACCGACACGTTAAATTAGACACATGTGCAACTCTTGGTATCTTTTTGATACCCAATGCTGTATAGTCCTTGTGCGCTGTATAGTCCTTGTGGCTTAGCACTTCTTTTTGATAATAATAATAATAATAATAATGTATAGTCCTTGTGGCTTAGCGCTTCTTTTTGATTATAATAATAATATTGATACCCAAGAGCTTGTGAAGGGCTCTCGATCTAGGGAATTGGATCTGTGCTCCAGTTTCCTGAATTGAGCTTGATTACCTTCAGTCCCCTCCCCCAACAGGCGCTGTATAATCCTATGGGCTTAGCGCTCCCCCATACAAATAATAATGATCTCTACGTGTTTAGAGCCTAAGCATGAATATTATTAGTTTAAAACAGTTAGCATATCTACACAGAATAAACTCAATAAATTAGAAATCCAGCATCCCTTCCCTTCTTCCTTTCGTCAGGCCCCTCTAAATACCAGTGATAGACTCTTGATCCAAGGAATTTGACCTTTTCTCCTCTTGCATCGAACCTGAAGATTCTCATTTCCCAGGTGTTAGTTTAATGATTATTATGCACCCCATACCCATCCTGTGGGTGGTGGTCAAAAGATTACAGAGGTACATAATGGGTCCAGGGACTGGACCCCAAAGTTTTGATAGCTGAACAAGGTACAAAGGTAATGAATCATGTAAGTTGATGATCAAACTAAATGCTATTATGTGATCAGCTATATGGTCACTGTCTTGAACACTTGTGTGCTTAATTGTCCACTTATTGAGGAATACAGAGACAGACAGTATAATAACCAATGTGACATGTCAAGGTATCTTATTAATGAAAATAAGATACCAGATATACTAAGCAAATTTCCTAAATTTGCATGTAACAGATAAGTGAACTGTAGATATGTAGATAAATAAAAACCCATATGTACACCTGTTAACTCTTGTGGGGCCTAGTTCCTGGGCCTTTTGTTTTTCTTGATCACTTCCACTCCATTCTCATGCCACCGCTGTGTACACAGATGGCTCTAAGTCTTCAGACTGCGTCGGATTCGCAGCAGTGTTTCCGACAGCATCGTGCGGGGGCATTTACTATCTTCAGCTAGCATTTTTACTGCTGAACTGTATGCCATTCTTGCAGCACTTATTCGTATCGCATCTATGCCTGTGTCATCATTTGTGGTAGTCTCAGACTCCCTTAGTGCTCTACAGGTTATACGAAAATTTGATATATCTCGCCCCCATATTTCTCCGTATCCAACTTTGGCTACGCCGTATCTCTATGAAGCATAAAGATATTTTTTGTTGGGTCCCTGATCATGTTGACGTACAGGGCAATGAACAGGCAGACACTGCTGCGCGGTCAGCAGTACATGATACCAATTTCCTATAGAGGTGTTCCATTTCTGGACTATTTTGCTACAATAGCTGCCCACCTTCGCGCCCCTTGGCAACAACGTTGGTCAACTCTGCTTGGTAACAAACTTCATTCTATTAAACCGAGCATAGGTTACTGGCCGTCTTCTTGTCATCAGTGCCGTGGTTGGGAGACCACTCTCTCCCGTCTTCGCATTGGCCACACTTGTCTTACTCACGGGTATCTCATGGAGAGGCACCCTGTACCTCTCTCTGAGCAGTGTCAAGTTCCAGTATCGATTAGCCACATTCTGTTAGACTGCCCTCTCTATCAACGAGCACGCAGAATTTACCTCCAACGCCGTCTTCGTTCTACTACTCTCTCTTTACCTTCCCTTCTTGCTGATGGACCCTCCTTTAATCCTGACTCTCTCATTGACTTCTTGACAACGACTGATTTACTCCACAAACTCTGATGATGATACCTTACACACTCCCCTCAGCCCTTTCTAGCTCAGTCTCTTGCTGCCCTTTACCCTTTCACCATCCACTGCTCCACTGTTATCCGTAAACCTATTACTCATCCACCTCCCTTTTGCCACCTGATGCCCTCGCTTCCTTCCTGCCCTGCAGCGCTGTATAGCCCTTGTGGCTTAGCGCTTCTTTTTGATTATAATAATAATACTGGGCCTTTTGTGTATCCATATGCTCTTGCGCTACCGTCCACAGGATGGATATGGGGTGCACAATAAACTAGCCACTTCGGTGGCTAGTTTATTGTGCACCCATATCCATCCTGAACATCAAAAGAATGTTAAAACAATACAGTATGCTTCCACGTTTCGATCCAAGGGAGAGTAACTCTAGCATTGGATCAAAAGCCCATCCATGGCATCA